ATTCCGAAATTAGGCATGCCTGAATGCTCATCTAGTCTAGCTTCAGGATTAATATATAAATAAATCTTTATTTGCCTTGGGTTTTGAGCACTAGAAGATTTGTCAACTGTTATGTATTACTAATTCATGGAATCCTTAATGGTTAAATATATTTAAATAGAGGATAAAAGTGGATCAAAAACAATAGGATTGCAGAAAGAATTAACCTATGTCTTGTCTTGTCTTTTCTTTTATTGACGTGTTAAAATATAAGGCTATTTTTGAGGAGCTTTTTTTCTTCAGTGCTGCAGTAAAATTGTATAGCTGTTAATCATCATGACTCCTGCAAGTCTTCTCTTTAGGGAATCCTGTAAATTTGGAGACATGGGCAGCTTATAAAATTTGAGGATGTATTTGCTGGAGCACAGTATCTTGCATTTGGCTGAGTTGTATTTAAATAGCCTACTTTCAGCATTAATAATACATCATTGTGAAGTCTGGTTTCAAATTAAATGCTGATTAAGGTGTTGTTAAGCACCTGTGAAAGCATTTCTGCTCTGTCCCAGTACCACAGCATTTACTTGAGCATTTAAAAGCTCTGAGATGGACTGTCCAGTTTTCAAGGGCTGGAAAATAAAAAGTAAAATTTCTTGGAATTCCCAGCCATTCAAGGCCTGGAAATATAATTTCCTAGATTATTATAGAGTTTATTTAACATATATGACATCGTGTCTAGCAAGTTAATGCACAGTGAAATGCTTTAAACCATCACTAAGTTACTAAACTGGGCAGAAGAGTTGTCACTTTTTAGCAGATACTTGTAATTATTTCTTTGTCTCTGATTCACTAAATCTTACTGCTCCATGGACAGAGCCAGCTCCATCTATTTCTCTCTCCAGCTGTGGGAGCATTGCAATGCAAGAGAGGATCACCATCTACTTTGCTGGATACTTGGTAAAGAGGAATATTAGATACGATAAAGATATTAAAACCAGTAGTAGGTGTATTGCAGCCCATTTTCCCTTGGCAGCTGAAGACTGCTTTTTACTCCATTCATTTCATGAATGCAGTTAATTAGAGGGGCTGTTCTGGTTCTCTGACTGCAGGTATTCCTCATGTTCACATATTTGCCAACTAAAATACTGAGTTGCATAACTCACTTTATTTTGACTTACAGTTTGTGGTTTGTTTTTTTTCATTTTTAAAGTCTGGCCATTTTGCAGTTTGCTACTTTAGAAAGAGTTGGGCTATTTTCTGTAAAAACCAAATGAATTTCAACTCTCTTACAATGTATTTTCTCATGTATTACGAGGACATACATAAAATATTGCGAGCAGGACAGTTTTCATTAGAAGTATTAGATTTATTTTCCTTCTTGGTTTCACAGACTTGAAACCTACCATTTTTCAGACCATGAAAATGTGAAAATTCTATTTTCTCAGGCTCTTCTGAGAAGAGGTGATTTAAACTTGGTGCATTTGAGTACAGTCTGTTACTGTTTGAAACGGGGTCTTAACACAAAGAAGAAAATTCATGTTTAAAGACATCAGATTGTCTTCTATTGTGATACCCTTGTAACTAATGATACTTAAAATTGTATTAGTATTTCTAATATCTTTCTCAGCATCTGAAAATAGAAGAGGATTTCAGTAAATCTAAATAAATAAAATAAAATCTTCTCCATAGTATCTTGAGTGCTGAATCAAATTGGTGCTGAAGTTTTTCTCAGGTAGTAGAATATAAGCCTTCCTTCAATTACATCTTTTTTTGCTTCTACACCCCTTTTCCCACTGACTGTAATTTTCATGATCAGTAGTAGAATAAGTATTTCCTCCTGAAGTGAGCCTTGCAAATGCTGATTTCAGATGCTGTTCTGAGATTCTCCTCAGAGTTTTTCCAGTCTTTTGTAGGGAGGTAAATACTTAGAAAAGCTCATTTTCAAATCTTTTTTTAATTGAGCTCTATTTTAAATATTTGCTTACCAGCTTTTTTTTGTTATTATTTTTCAACTCTAAACAATATCAAAATTCCTTAAAATCATCTATAATTGAATGTTAATAAACATTCTTAGTGTCACTGCAGCTTCAAATGTGTATTTCTGTTCTTTTATCTCACATCCAAGATGTATCATTGTAGGGTGAGAGCAAATCCTAGTCACTGGAAGATTCACTGTCCTTTCCCTTGACAAAGTAAAGAGCTTCTGTTGAGCTTTTTTTGTGTTTTGGAAAGTTGTTGTATTAAGAAATTCCTGAGATAAAGGTAGCCTGGCATAAAAACCTAGCCTAGAAATGGCTGTTTGAATATTTCTAATAGTTGCCCATTGCATGTTTCTCAGTTCATTGTAGGAGGCGTTTTCTTCTGAACAGTCGTGGCAGTTATTTTATTACGAGACAAAAAGACTTCTATACAGGAAAAGGGTTGGTTGGTTGGTTGTTTTTTATAGAAGCACTAATAGACCTAAAAAGTGCATGAATGCTGACTCTAGTGCTGAGTAAAAAATTACACTGCATTTGGGGAGAGCATTCTGGGTTCTGGTCTCTGGATTTATACAAAGCTGCTTTTGGAGCACCATCCTTATCACACATAGAGCAGAACATGTGAATTTCAACACCCTCAGACTCACTCTGATCTCAGCTGGGTCTAGGTGGGAGCTGGTGCTTCATCTCTCAACGCGCCTGACCAAGAAATATTTTCAAACATTAAAGTTGTGGGTTCTGAGGATCTGAAGGTTAAAGAGAAGAAAACTTCTCTGTGAGTTTAATACACTTCAAGGATGTGAAAGGCGCTATTTTGAGTCTCAGTTCATGATCCCTAAAGGTGTGGTGGTTGTCTGGGTACATTGCATTAAACTTTCAATAAATTAGAAGACAATTTTCCTACAGATTGGCACGAATAAAATAATATTATCCAGAAAATTCTTTCTGTTCATTAAAGGTATATTGTGCTTTTTTTACTTTGTTTTCCAACCATTCCACTTGAACCATTTGCACTGTATTGACCTGCTCTGAGCCTTGAGGGACACTGTTAAAGTCTGTAATGTGAACCCACAGCGGTGTCAAATATTAACAAGTGTTCTCTGCCCTGCTCATGCTGAACGTTGATCTACCTCAGGCATCAAGAAACAGAGAGCTAATTTGTAATTGTTGCCTTTCCTGTTCTCTCAGATGGTTGGGTAAGCAGGCTGAAATGTCTGTCCTCTAGCTATTTGACTTTACATAGGAACTCCCATCACCCTCATCTTCGCAATAGCAGGATCCCACCCAACAGCATGCTAATCAATGTGACTAACATCTGTCTCCTGGGGTGCATTGTATCTCTATCCTGTCCCCCAAAGCAAGACTGTATATTTAGCTATATAATGTTAAATATATCACTGTCATTTGCAGGGATATGTTTTCAGTTGTTCTTTTTGCTATGAGTTCATACTAATGCAGACAAGTCAAAATGGTGCACTACCACCCAAAATGGAAGATGATGGGGTTTGTGTGGACTTCAGATTCTGGGTGAGGTCATTTCCAGTTTGAAACTGGACACTCTCTTCTGCCCTAAAAGGCTTTACCTTACTACGGCTGACACAGTGAAATCACCATGCAGAGTCCTGTCCTTCCTTCAGGACTTAGGGCACCACAGGGGTGAAACCTCCCACCTGGAAGCCACTCTTACCCTCACTGCTGGGTAGCCCTGAGGAACAGGCAAATTTAATATGCTTGACCTAAGGAAACAGCTGAATGCTTCCCCCATAGATTGTTTTCTTGAATTTAGGAATGCTAGTGAAGTCTTATTTAATACCACTGGGGAGTTTAATTAGCAGAAATAATGAAGTACCAAACTAACTGTACTTTGGGTGGTTATGATAGTGTACTAGAATGATTGTTTATTGGACGGCTGCTATTTTGGAGCTGTCTCATGCTGTCCCTTCTCCCCCAGCCTCACTAAATTTTGCATAACTTGTAAGAGGAAAAATTGCCTTTTGCTGTAATTAATATCTGCTCAAAGTTTTTTAAGTCCACTATTTCCTTTAGCATTTCCCTTAGCAGCAAGGTTTTCTTTAGACAATGAAATGTTTCATTGCAATTTAACTACAAATACTGGCTCCCAAAAATCACAGAGAAATTAAAAAAAATAGTTTCCATATAGTATTTCTTACTCTGCTGTTCTGTCATATGAAAAGACCATATCAAAAGTCATCCCTTGGATTATATCTTTATTTGTTTATTGTGTAGTTCCTGAGCATTCTTTGGTTCAGAAACAGCTACAGTGAATCACAGTTTCCCATGACTCTCTCAGTGGAAAATTCAGACATTAGATGAGCTGAACCACCTTCTGAAGTCACTTGTGTCTCTCTGTCTTAGGTGAACTGAGCATCTGTCTGAGCTCTTCATTGAGCGCCTTAAGTTAGATGGGAGGGACCTGTACTAAAGTGTTGTTTAGTTTGTCACAGAAAAGCATGCCTTTAAAAGGAATAAGATGCTCAGTGAAAGAGGCTTACTCTGCATTATTTTTAAAAGTCATGTGCCATTACTTGCTCAGCAGATATTGTTTCTCATAGGTTGCTATGGTTTGCTTTGTTGTTTTGCTTTTTTTTAATAGACTGAATATTAAGATTTTATCACAACACCATTCTTAATAGCGTAGAACAGTCAGTATCTTTGGCCTGCCATTTGTTCATTTCACCTGTAGGTATTTATAGAACCATTTGTGTAACAAACTGCTCGGAAATTGTTGGTTTTATTATTCATTCATCAGTATTCCACACGGATCCCACTGAAGCACTGTGGTTTGGACAATGCACCACAGTTTATCAGTGAATAAGCTGAGTTCTTAAATGAGTGACTGATTTCTTTATTCTTGCAATGTACAGGCTGCTCTTCATGATTCACAATTCTCTTCAGTCAGCTGCGTGTTTCACATTATCGTGGGCAAACATGACATGCACATGTTGATGCAATTTATTTTTACAGCTTGATAATATGCTTTGATTTATCACTCTTCTAAGCTGTGGTGTTCTGTTTTCCCCTTAGGGATACGATGATGGATATGGGGGTGAATATGATGATCCAAGCTATGAGGCATATGATAATAGTTATGCCACCCAAACACAAAGGTAAGCATTTGTGCTTTTACATTATTTCTCCAAAATACACTTTTTTATCTTAGTTTTTTTATGTAAATTTTCTGGTTTATTTTCCAAATTAAATTTTACAAAATCTCTGAGTACTTTAGAAGTAAAAAGTAATAATGACAGTACGAATTTATATACAAGAGATTCAGATGAAGTAAACATATAAGCAGCTATGCTTTTAAAATTGGTGCAAATTAAGTGTATTTTTTTAATAAGCAATTACTTAATTTTCTTATCTGATGTTGTTCTGAACTTATTTGTCCCCTTTTTTATCCTTTACTGATGGTAAGTTGTGAAGGGTATCTCATACTTGCAGCTTTTACAATGTTTTGAGAACAACCAAAAGGAAATTTAAAAAATATTTGTGATGGTAACCTGTTTCTGGTTGGCGTCCACCATCAAGGTAAACTATAGAAGGGAATTACATGCCAGAAGTAAGGCTGAAGCTATCTGTTTTCCACCAGTTATTTTCTAAGCAACTCTCAGAATTTATAAGTTTGGAAACTTATTTTTGTCCTTGTGATGTGGAATAATAGGAAGAGGCTACATTGACATCTTATATTGATTTGTGTGAATGAGGCAACAAAAATTATCTCATTTTTATATACATTCATCTCACACACTCATCCATTAATTGGACAGTCAGTGCATGTTTATTAAACATGGAATGGGATCTTTTTCACATTTAAGCTCAAGGATAACAGGGTCTTTCAGCCAGTTATTCAGAAAGTGGTCTTGCGCATTGCTGAAAGTACTTGTAAGGTTGTGGAAAGGCAAATTAAATTTTAACAAGAAAAGACACATATTTTCACTAAGTTAGTGCGTTTCTCACTGAGCAAGAAAGTGGTGTATACATAAAGAGTTCTACACTCCCAAGGCCAGAGGACCTTAAACTTGCTTTTTTGGTTAGCCATCTTTTTCACTGAATGCTTTGCTGATGTAAATGCCTGTCAGAATTGCATTCAGCTCCAGAACTGCTATAGTGAGTGATACTTTAGAGGATGAAAGATATTTTATAAGCATTTTTATATCCAGTGAAGTATATTTAAAAGGATTAGTCACACCTAAATGTGAACCCCATCAAGTATACTTTAACACTTTCAAGTAATTATACTTTCCTAGCTGCACCCGTCATGTCATTGTGTAGGTAGGTATTCTTGTTGTCAAATGTACTTCAACTTTTTTAAAACAATTCAGTTCCTTCTTTGCTACAAGAGTGAATTATCACAGGAGAGATTGCTTCTGATGTAAAAACAGTAATTAGTTGGAAATATCTTGATATGACATTGCTTTATAACATCTGAATTAACCTGTAATTTCTTTGGAAGTTGATGTCCCAGGCAACTAAATGACAAATATATCAACTTTATGAAGACTGTATTATAATGCAGCTAGAACTAGTAGTGATAATTTGGTACAAGAGAGAAAATTTATAGTCACATAATTTAGTTAATTAAATAGCTATTAAGTTTAGTCATCAGATATGTTTTCTACTAATTGGAGCTACCTCCAGGATACCTAATCTGTTTAAAATCTGCAACTAAAATATTTCTTTTTGAAATATATGATATGTAGTCATACTTATCCATGTTGAGTGGCGCTTAATGCCTCAAGTAGCCCATTGATTTCAAAGAGAGCACTTTCAGAGCTACATGCTTCTTGTTTCAAAGATTTAAAGAACAAATGGACCATTAAATACAGAATTTGTATTTCTGCACCCTATTGGCCATTTAACTTCATAGAAATGCCTGCTTACCAAGCAAAAAATATAAATAGTACAATACAGTGAAATAGTGTGCCCAAAATATTTGGCTAGATGCATGTTTCAAAATGTTTTCTCCAAGTCTCAGATCTTTCTTATTAGTATAGTCTAGTCATATGAGACATACCATGTGCACACCTAAAAAAGATAAGTAGTACTGCTCCAAAGTACTGACTCATGTCATGTGTCATTTTAGGGAAAAAATAACAAAAACTTGTGAAAAATGTCTGTGCTCAGCCAGGAAATTACCCTTGCTTCCCTCTGCAGGGAATGACTGAAATTCTAAAGCATGAGATGAGAAGCAATTGTAGTTAGTGGCTTAATGCAGAGTACCAAGATTTCTGTTCCTGTTAAGGTCAGAGTTTCCCATTGCTTTTTATGGCTTATTAGGGACTCAATGTGGAAATTCTTAGAGTGGTACATACTTTTGTCTGACTGTCTGTCTTGCTTGTTGGCCAAGCCTTATTCTCTTCATTGCTTCAAAAGGAACATTTTGGGTGGAGGGTCATGAACAGACAGGGTGGATGGTCTGACCTCAGGCTGGCTTTGGTGTGCCTTAGAGCAGAGCTCATAGTAAGTTCCCCTTGTTGTCCTGCTCATCCCATGCGTGGAGTGAAGACAGAGTTTGAGCAGCCTGCCACCACCACCCCTGTTACCCCTGCCTTTGTCTTCCATACCTTGTGTCTACTTCCCATTTGCCGGAGTCTTTCTGCCCATATATACTTAGTTTAGGGAGCCTTAGTCCTTTTGGAGGAGCTGTCCAAGAGGTCTGATTTAGAATTTTGCAAACTAAACTCTGCCAACAGCAGAGAAAATGAGCACAGTATTGACATGCACAGTGCTGCAACAGAGAATTATGGTTTAGTAGAAGGACCACCACAATTACCAATCCCCAAGACTATTCAGATGTTGTACTTCAGTGCACAATTATCTAAAAATTCATGCTAAAAGTCAGGGATTTAGGTCGTGTTGCAGGTCCAACTATACACTTGGTATAGATCCTTCTCTAATGCACTTCTCTAATGAACTTCCCCACACAGAAAGCTCTGTCTGTCCTTCATGACAGCAGTCTGATTTTTAGGCTGAAACTAGGGGGATGGGGTCACCTGTGGAAGAGGTCATGACAGAGCCTCAGAATCAGGCTGGAATGAAATCCACAGTAATTCTGCCTCTCTGAACAAGCTAAGAGGCGTCTCCAGCACAATTTGAAATGGAGCAAAGAAGCAACTTGAAAAAAGAGAAAAGCAGGACTCTCACTATGGTAAGTGCCACCTGTACCTTATTAAGATGGGGAGGCGTATTTTAGAAATAAGAGAATTATGGGTAATGACAGTCTGTATTGCATGTCTTGCTTTAAATAGCAGAAGATGTATTTGTAAAGCCTCTTTTCCCCCTCCTTATATTCCTGTCCCATAATGACAACACAAAACATAAGATGGAACCCCAGGACAGATTTAAATTAACTGTCTGTCCTTCCCAGCTGAGTCTGTGAAAGACTACACATTTTCTGAGGACATTTAGAAACCCTACTCCTTTTAGAAATTTTTTAATACAGATGTCAAAATACAGTTTTTAAGATAATTACAATGAATGCTTTGTCAAATACCAGAAAGAACAAGGGAACAACCATATCACTGGGCAGGAGAAGACAACATATCTGACATACTTCCCATGGGCAATAATGCGCTGTAGTTTGAATTTCTCAATGACCTTGTTTTCCTCTCTCTTCCCCTCCCTTCCATATAATATGAAGATGGATCTCATTGATAAGAATATCTGGCTGTCCAAACACACCAAGAGATATTCAGTAGCTGTTAAGTTCATACACTATTCTCTGTATACTTGAAAGTAAGGCAGAGGACACTAAAAACCTTTCTGCCAGCTAGATGTACCTCCCAAACCTCTAGTCTGGCAACTTTATTTAAAAAAATATAGACACAATATACAAAATAGTAGAAGTGTTAATTTCCAACTCAGTTGTAACACAGAAAATACAGGAGAATCCTATTAGCTTTCAAAATGTAATGCACTGTTTGATTTTCTTAGCAGGTGCTTTTAAGTCTGTTGATCTGTCACCACTGTCCAGCATTCATGGGCTGAGATCACTAGATTACCAGAAGAAAGGATTGGAAGTTTTGTGAGAAGATGTAGAAGATCAGCCTCTTTGGTTACTCAGAGGTTGTTAGGGATCAGACTGTCCCACGTACAAAGTGTGGCCAGACTCCTCAGCCAAGACCAACAGAGTAACAATGAAAATGGATCATTTGCTGATGAATCATGGTGGGCAACAGAGCCATCTTCAGCTCTGCTGCCACATCTGCAGTCATCTCCACTGGCCTTTGTGTCTCTGCCAGCACCAACAGTTTCATTTCCATGTCTCACAGCCAAAGACACCAAGGAAGTCTGGGACTGACTGTCCAGTCATGGGGTGAACTGGGAAGGGTATATTATCTTTAATTCACTTGTGCCCAACTTATCCAGCCATATGTAGTGTAAACAGTGGTGTCTAACAGGGAGGAGCAGAGGAAGCCAAGGATTGTCTGATGAAGCTTAAAATTTGAGTTTGATATTATTTCCCTGTTCCACAGTACCTGGCATGAGCAGTCATCCACTGATCCATTCTGGTTTTTGTGAACAGGTAGATGGTATATTGGCAATGGCTTTCAGGTCTGGTTGCCTGGCTTTTTATTCTGCCTTTTTTTGGTATGGCTTTTGTTAAAAACATAGTTCAGCAGCTATATGAGTTGCCAGTGTGTGCTGTCTAAAGAAAGAAGGGCTGATGACTCCCACCTTAGGCTGTAAATAGACTTGTAAATATCAGGAAACCCATAACTTACTGACAAGAAGAATAAATAATTTAGTGATAAAAGACAGATGAAAATACTGCACAATGTTGCTGTTACAGATTCCTTCCCACAGCAGTACAGGCCTTGTGATGGCATGTTGTCATCCTTCCTGTGACTGCAAGATGACATAGGTAAAAAGCATTTCTCATGCCTGTCTGCACCCAGCCTCACTAATAATAATAACAGTAACACAATTTTAGGACCTTGAAGCAATTCTTGGCAAAATATTTACTGTTAATCTTGCAAATAAGTTATGTAATGCTTTAGGCAGCAGACCTCTGGGCAGACATTTCATGCTGGTATGCCGATCATTTTGGCCAAAGAACTTCCTTTTGGTCTGTCAAACTCACACTTCAAACCCTTCCTGCATCTGC